CTCCTCCTCCTCCTCCTCCTCCTCCTCCTCCTCCTCCTCCTCCTCCTCCTCCTGCGGGCGCCGAAGCCCGGCCTGTGAAGGCGCCCGCGCTTGCGCCCGCACTGAGCTTCGCCAACGACACGTCGAACCGGCAGCCGCCCTCCAGGCCCGCGCAGCCGCGCCAGCACAGCCGGCAAGCGCGGCAGCCAGGGCCGCGTGCTCGCCGGGCAGGGCCGCCTCCGCTTCCAGCGCGGTCTGGAGCTGGCGAGCCGCCGCGGCTTGTAGTAAGGCCACCGCGGGCTTCGCGTCCCAGCGGCGCGCGAGGGCGCTGGCCGCCGCGGAGGCCGCGGCAGGGTCGCCCCCGGCGACCAGCTGCGCGCGGTCCCACGCCAGCCGCGCAGGTGCCGCAGGGCGGCCGCGCCGCGGCGGCCGCCCGTCTCGAGCGCGAGCGGCACCATCCGCCAAGGCGCGCGCCCGTCGGGATACCCGGCGCGCTTGTCGGCGTCGGCGCCCCTGTTGACGGCGCCGCCCCGTGCCGCCGCGGCAGGCCGGAGCCCGTCGGCGTCGCCCAGCACGCCGTAGCGAACGGTGACATCTATGAAGACTCGCGGGCAGTCAGCCCACGAGATCTCCAGGTCAAGGATGGCCTCCTCGCGCCGGGCCGTCAGCGGGGCGCCGCAGCGAGTGCAGGCCGCGTCGGCCGCCGGCCGCGCAGCCGACGCGCCGTCGGCCTCGCAGCCCGCGCAGCGCCAGCGCCAGCGGTCCCAAGCCGGCACTGGCGTCTGGCGCGCCACCAGTAGTCGCGCACTCGGCGTGGATGTGCTCCAACGCCGATTCGAGGTCGCCGCTGCGCGCCTTGAGGCCCCCTCCCCGCGGGCATCGCCAGGCGCGGTGGGCCTTGCAGCAGAGCAGCTCTCCGCAGCGCTGGCCAGCCCGTTCCCCGCCGCGGGCGCAGTTCGAGCAGGTGGCGCTGGGCGGCGCCGCGTCCTGGCCGAGCAGGCAGCGCGTCGCGGAGCGGTTGGCGGCGTCTTTCAGCCGCCGGCGGGGCTCGCCGGGCGCAATGCGGTCTGCCAGCCTGCCGCGCGGGGGCCGCCGCAGGAGCGGAGCAGCGGCCGGTCCTCTTCAGAACCCGAGGAGCTCAGCAAGGAAGTGCAAGCTTGTTTTGTCACTCCTTGCTGCGAGCGTCCTCAGGAGCTTCTGCCGAAGCTCGGCGGCGAGCTCAGCCCAGGCGGTCAACCTGTCAGGGCCGTCGGCGCCCCAGAAAGCGGCGGCGGCGGGAGCGCCGCGAGCTCGGCGAGGCTGCTCCGGCAAGCGGCGGCGAGCGGCAGCGGGCTCGCGTCCAAGCCCCCCAGGGTGTCCAGCCCGGGCTGCTCCCGCAGAGCGCCCAGGCTCTGCGCCCAGGAGGCCGCCCAGGCCGCCGGGGCCAGCTCCTCCTGGCTGCGGAGGCTGCGGCCGCCCAATCGCAGCGGGGGTCGGCAGCGCTGCTGCTGCTGCGGCGTCAGAGGGCCCAGGTGCCCGAGCTCTTCGTGGGCGGCCAGGAAAGCGGCGTCGTGGGCCGCCGCCGCCTGCCGTGCCTGCTCGGGTGGCGTGGTGCGTAGCGTGGGCGTCAGCTTGCCAGTCCCGCAGTGCCGCAGGAGCAGGGCCGCCGCCTGCTCCTCGGGCAGGTGCGGGGACGCCAGCGAAGGCTGCTCGGCCACCTTCGAGATCAGCCTGGCGGCTCGCGTCGCGGCGTCCTCTGCGCTCTCCGTCGCGGGATCAGCTGCGCCCAAGTACGCCCGGCGCCCCTCGTCCGGGCGCGGGAGCCGCCGCGGCTGCGGCTGCTCGGACAGCGGGGCCCCGACCAGCGTGAGGCCTCGCGCTTGCCAGTTCTTCGTGTCCAGGGCCGTGACCACAAGGTGCGGCGAGGCTTCCAGCAGGGCGCGCACCGCGTGCGCCAGAAGTTCCGTCCCGGCGGCCGTGCCGATTGCGAACTGCTGTCTTCCGAGCGCGCCCGCCAGGTGGCCCCGTCGCTCACTGGCCAGCGCGCGGCCCACCAGGCGCCGCAGGATGTTCGGCGCCGCGATGGGCCGAACGCCGCGGTCGCCCTTCCGGAGCGGCGCGCGGCCAACCTAATCGTGAATATGTGGCGTTTCTCCTCCTCCTCCTCCTCCTCCTCTTCCTCCTCCTCCTCCTCCTCCTCCTCCTCCTCTTCCTCCCCCTCCTCCTCCAACCTTGTCATCCTCCTCCAACCTTTTCATCAGTCGGTCCTCGGGGACGTCCATGGAGAGGCGCGCGGGCTGCGCCGCGGGGCCGTGGACGGGACGTCGGTCTGGCGATGTACGGCGCCCGAGGGCTTCCTGCAGCAGCCCCCGGGCCATCTCCGACGAGTTCTTCGGCTCGTCGCAAGGTTCGACCGGCAAGGCCGCCTGCTCGAGCCCAGCCCGGATCGCGGCCTTCCGGGCCCCCGAAGCGGAGACTTTGACAGGCCGTGACGTGTTTGCGCGCAGGGTAGGCAAGAAAACTGCCGCCGTGGGGTCGAAACGCGCTCCATGTTTCGTTCTCTCCAGGCGGCTTGTTCGAAATCCTGGTCGGCAATGTCCTGGCCTGGATTCGGTCGGGCACGTCCTCCTGCATGCGGATGTGGGGGGGAAAACTTGAAAAGGGTCCAGAACTGCTCAAAAATAGCCAAACATGGTCGAAAAATCGTCGCCCGACCTTTTCTTGAGTACTCTCCCAGCGATCCGACGTCGTGACTTTTCAATACGGGGTTCCCAGAGGTCTCGACCCATTCCCCAGGACCGGTTTTTCATCCTGAGTCGTTTTTTGACGGTCCTGGGGCCCGGCGAGCGCCACCTTGAGGCCGAACATTGCGAGGAACCTGCGTCTTGATTTTTGTCGGTGCGCTGGATCTCTGGGCCTGAAAACTCCCACTGTAGAGGGGCCTGCCCGACGTGAGGTTCGGGCCCCCGAGGCCTGCCGAGGCACGCCGCGCCGGGCCCGAGCGGCACCGCCCGGGCGGATGTGCGCCGCGGCGAGCAGCAGCGGGAGCGGCAGCCGGCGGGGCTGCCGCCGCGCGGTCCCACGAGATGCTTCGCGGGGCATTCTCCGATGGGCCAGTTTGCCACCGCCGCGACCATGGACATAGGGACGGGGGCGGAGGGAGGAGGGGGAGGCCCTTTTCCTCCTCCTCCTCCTCCTCCTCCTCCTCCTCCTCCGCCTCCTCCTCCTCCTCCTCCTCCGTCTCCTCCTCCTCCTCCTCCTCCGGTAGTGGTGGTGGAAAGCTGGCCCATCGTTCTTGCTTCACTGGGCAGAGAAGCCGAAACAGAATCGGCCTGTAGGATCACGAGGCCGTCTGCTCAGAGCTACAATTGTGACACATACGGATATGCCTGGCGCGCTACGTGGTTCGGCCAAGGCATCTGAAGCCAAGACTGGAGCCAAAATGGACGCGGACTTGCTGTTGCACCGATTCGACGTGAAATCCCACCAGCCCTCTGGGCGAAGGTGGCTTAAGGAGCGCGTTCTGCTAACCTCCTTCTTCCCCTTCGGAAAGGGGTCTACCCCAACCCCTAACCCCTCGCCCTGGTTCTGGAGAGGGGCGCGACCGGTCAGATCGTCCAAGATGGCCCGCTGAGAGCTCCAGATGTTCTAAGATGGCCCCCAAGATCGCGTAATCTGGTTCAAGATAGCTTTACCACGTGCCTCAAAGAAACCTTGAGACCGCTCCAAGACGGATCCAAGTGGCTACGGCCCCCAAGAGGCCAGAGTCATTCAAACACCTGGTTTTGTTCAATGTTGTTTTGTCTTCTCGCCTTTTCGCTTCAGATGGGCTTCTGAGGTCTCAATATGGGCCAAAGGCAGTCCAAGATAGGCCCGATATGGCCCCAAGAGCGCCCGGCGCCCACAAAGGGGCCCAAGAGGCAAGTTGTCGGGCCACGACGGGGGAGACTGACACAAGCGCCGCCTTCCTTTTTTCATCGGTGGCCTCCAAGATGGCCCCCGGAGGGCCCTAGGAGCGCCCGCGTGCCTCCAAACGGCCCCAAGACTGCGGCAAGAGGCCTCTATAGCTTCGCCAGCGCCGCGCACACTCGACCCATCAGCCTGCAGCAAACACAGATATTGGAGCGCGTTTCCTAATTTTCGACGACCATGGGCATTATAAGGGGGGGAGGGGGGTATAATGTATTGCCTCCCCCCCGCCGTGTGCCCGATGCGCACGGCGGCAGCGCCTGGAGCGCACTGGGGGGAGGGGCGTTACGTGATAGGGGGGGGGGGGGGCGGGGGCTATAATGCTCCATATGCCCCAGGCAATACAGAAACACGCTCTTGAGGGCGGCTCGTTTTCGAAGTGGGGCGCTCGCCTCAGCGCCGGGCACAATCGCCTCGAAACTTCGCAACAACTGCACTGATAGGGCCGTGCGTTTCTTGAATTGGGGCGTTCGCCTGAGCGCCGCGCACATCCGTCTGTAACGCGTGCGCTGGCCACAGTCATGGAGGGCGCTCGGTCCTTCAGAGCGTGATGACGCGTGAGCATCGCCTGAGGCTTCCCTTCGCTCGCGAGCAGAAGCTTGACCATGTGCAGCTGCTGTGCGGATGGATGGGCGGCGGCTCCCCTCCAGACGGGGGCTCCCGCTTGAGACCAGGTGCGTGCGCGTGTGCAGCGGTTGCGTGGATGGGTGACGGCTCCCTTTCGAGACGGGGCTTCCGCTGGACACGTCGTCGAGCCTCGTGGCGATCGCGAGCGAGGGGCGGGAAAGGCGAAGGAGAAGACCTCCTCAGAAGGCGGCGGGACTTCCCAGACGTCCTCGCGCCTTCCGAGCAGCTTCGGTCGTGCCTTCGGGGAAGGCTCAGACCACGCCTCGGAAGGCCGGGGGACTTCTCCGAGCCTTCTGCGCAGGCCCACCCCCTCTCGCCCCCCCCCCCCCCACCCCCTCGCTCGCCGCCGATCATGACCCTACGGCTTCACATTCTTCGGGGCTCCCTGGCAGGATGCGAGGCAGCCCCTCTTCGAGACAGGGCTCTCGCAGGGCGCCCTCGTCGAGCCCCACGGCCCTACAGGCTCCCATTCTTCGTGGCTCCCCGGAAGGAGATGGGAGATGCGAGGGCAGCCCCATCTCGAAGCAGGGCGCTCTCAACCGAGCGGCAGGCCCGGGGGCGTCGCCTCTGTCGGAGGAACAAAAGGAAGGCCTGCACGGACTGCGGAGGGGACGCGCGACGGGAAGGTCTGCTGCAACCTCGCTGCTGCACCCCGGATCTGCTCTGGTCCTCCTCCTGGCCCTCCCCTTCCTACTTCGCGTGGTGATGCTCCTCCGCCTCCTCCTCCTCCTCCTCCTCCGCCTCCTCCTCCTCCGCCTCCTCCTCCTCCTTCCTCCGTCCCACCTCGCTCTAATCCTCCGCCTCCTCCTCCGCCTCCTCCTCCGCACCTTCCTCCTCCTCCTCCTCCTCCTCCTCCTCCTCCTCCTCCTCCTCCTCCTCCTCCTCCCGCCCGGGGCTCCCTGGCAGGATGCGAGGCAGCCCCTCTTCGAAACAGGGCTCTCGCAGGGCGCTCTCGTCGAGCCTCACGGCCCTACAGGCTCCCATTCTTCGTGGCTCCCCGGAAGGAGATGGGAGATGCGGGGGCGGCCCCACCTCGAAGCAGGGCGCTCCCGCCCGAGCGGCAGGCCCGGGGGCGTCCCTTCTGCCGGGGGAAAAAAGGAAGGCCCGCATGGATTGCGGAGGGGACGCGCGACGGGAAGGTCTGCTGCAGCCTCGCTGCTGCACCCCGGATCTGCTCTGGTCCTCCTCCTGGCCCTCCCCTTCCTACTTCGCGTGGTGATGCTCCTCCGCCTCCTCCTCCTCCTCCTCCCACCTCCTCCTCCGCCTCCTCCTCCAGCCTCCTCCTCCCTCCTCCTCCCGCCGGGCTTCGCTTGGAATCAAGAAGGGACGTGCAGCGCAAGCACCTCGTCCCTCTAGCGGGCATCCTCTCCTCGTCGTCGTCGTCCGACTCGTCCTCTCGTCGTTCCTCACCCCTTTCCTCCTCCTCCTCCTCCTCCTCCCCTCCTCCTCCTCCTCCACCTCCTCCTTCGTCAAATTCCTCCTTTCGCCTCCTCCTCCTTCTCCTCCTCCTCCTCGTCCGTCAAATTCCTCTCCGCCTCTTCCCTCCTCCCCTCCCCCTCGCCCTCCATCCTCACTCATCTCCCCTCCTCCTCCTCCTCCTCCTCCTCCCCTCCTCCTCATCCGTTGCTCCCTCCCGGTCCTCCTTCTCATACCGCCTCCTCCTTCTCATCCTTCCCCTTTACCCTTCGCCTCCCTCGGAGAGGAGAGCCTGCTCTCACCACTCCCTGTTCCACTGCATCTCCTGCGCCTCCCCGAACGGGGCAGCTCGGTCTGGGCATCCCTTGCTCGACTGGCCAGCGGGGACACGCGGAGGCGCAGCATTCCAGACTCCACGGAAGAAGGAGAGGGATGAGGAGAGTTGAGTTGGGAGGGGAGAGAAAGGAGGAGGGGAGGAAGAAGAAGAGAGGAGGAGGAGGGGAGGAGAAGCAGGGAGGAGGAGGAGGAGGAGGAGGGAAGATCAGGGGAGGGAGGAGGGAAGATCAGGGAGGGAGGAGAGGGGACGAGCCAAGAGCCAAACTGAGGGCGAGCTCTTCAGCAGCCTTCGGGCCCCGCCCCTGCAGCCCCGCTGACCTCGCCCTTCTCTTGGTCGCGTGCGAATCGTGGGCGCGCCAAGTTGCATTCGCGAGATCCATGGATCGGGGGAGGTGCCCTCCACAAACACAGGGGAACGAGCAGTGACATAGACATGCAAACTCGGAGGTCCGCGCGGATTTCTTGGATCCATCCGTCCTGGACCCCCTGGCGGCGCCTCCGGCGCCGCCCCTGGCGCGCTCCGCGCGCCAGGGTGGGGGGGGTCCAGCGCCGCTCCAAGAGATCCGCGCGGACCTCCGAGCTTTTGTGTGTTCGAGTCATTCTTCGTTCCCCTACCCTTGGTCGTGCGAGAGCGCGCCCAGGACACCGCGGGGGATGAGCTCGGAACTGAGGTCAGAGGAGAGAAGCCGTTCGTTCCTCATGAGGGGGGCTGGCGGCCTGCCCCATCGGCACCCCCTCCTGGAGCCCCCAGGGCCGCCTCGGAGAAGCCCGCGGAGCCACCGCGGAGGGCGAGGAAAAATCCGATGGGCCGCGGGAAACAGACGGTGAGGGCATTGGAGATGGAAACCTTCGATAAGGAATCCCGGTCTGGGAGCCAGTGGGAAGCCGATCGTGGGTTGGCCATGGGTATCACCGCCGCCCTCGGCAGATAAGGAGCCCTCCAGGGTCTGAAGCCTCCTGGGCACGCTCCTTAACGAACGCCCCCACCGTACCAATGAGGCCTCCTAGATGGGGTCGGCGTAGATGGGGTCGGAGGATCTCGCCGCATCGCCGATACATCGGCGATGCACTGGCGACGTCGGCGACGAATCTGCGACGTCGGCGTGGTGAAACGCGGGCTCCACGTCGAGCCGAATGGTCGATGCATCGGCGATGCGGCGCGATCCTCCGATCCCATCTACTGACTCCGACCCCATCCTATCAGAGGCTTAGCACCGACATCGCCCAGGAGCGCACTACGCCCTGGCTGGGGAGCCCAGGAGCCACCGCAGGCTTAAGTCGGGCGTGCCCCCCTACAGGGGGATTCTGGGCGAAAAATGGAAAACTATTTCAAAAATGCCCTCCAAGTGCTCAAAAATAATGAAAAAACGTCCCCAGACTATTTTTAACTATTCTTGACTATGACCCCTGTAGAGGGACACGCCCGACTGAACCGCAGGCGAAAGAGGCATTCGGGAAGGGGGCCGCACCCTGCTTGGCTCCTCGGAGGCCTGGGGCTTAGTCGGCAGTGGACAAACCTCCCTTTAGCAAACCTCCCCTTAGTGAAAACGGCCTGGGACCGAAACCGACGGACCTGGACCCGCAAAAACGACGGCCGCGACGCCCTCTCGCGAACCGAAAACGGCCAATTCCTTAATCGACGTGTCAGGGTGGGAGGTCTATCCACCGCCGACTGAGCCCCGGAAGCACTCCGGCGAGCCACTCGGCCGCCTCTGCGGCGCCGGAGGGGCGCTCACGGACGGCCGGGCACCTCT